ACAGAAAATTAAAAGGCATTAAAATAAGCTTTAAATATTAAAAGCTTTAAAAAAGTTACGTCTGACTAAAATTTGATTCTACTACTAATATTTTTTTCAATTTCAGTTTCTCACCTAATTAGCAAAATTCCATTAAAAACATCTAATTCCAAATTCCTTTCACTATAATTTACAACTCTTCAAAATAAATTTAATTTACTCAAAAAAAGTAAAATCTCACCAAGAAAATTTAATGCATTCTCTCTCACTATTAAAGGAAAATTCTTTTGCCGCAGTGGAAAAATTATTGTCGCTCATTTAAAAAAAAAAAAAAAAAAAAAATTTTACTTTTTACATCAAAAGGGTTTATATATACGGAACAAAACAATACTTCTACATTAAGAATACTGTTTTCCTTTTCTTTTCTTTCTTTTCCTTCGTTTTCTTTTTTTTTGTCATCTTGCCGAGAAATTGTGATCTGGAAAAATTGTTGTCGGGAAAAGTATGTCGTGCGATAAGTGAAGAAGACTTTAATGAAGAGAGAACGGTCACGGTCGCTATGTAAAGGAGGAAAAAAAAAAATTGGAAAAGAAGATATGCCGTGTGTGGGTCAGATTACGTGTATAATGCGCCGAATAATTTTCATTTAATGCATGAAACCACGAGAGAGGCTGTTTGCTCAACTCGTTATATCATCACCAACACGAACTGAATATTATGTAATGTCTTTTTCTTTTTTTTATCAAGTTTACTGTTATATATTTAGAATATATAATATATTTAATTTTTTTTTAAATCTCTCTTTTCAAGTCAAATTCGATGCTTCCGGTAAATAAATGAAGCGCATGTTAAGAATTCCAAATACACTATCTATCACTAATATACACAAACTTGAAGGATCAATAAAAAAAAATAACCTCTGAGTTAACTTTCTTAAGCTTTTCCTTCGCACAAAACTCTAGTAGGAAAACTTTTATTCCAAATTAAACCAATACTCCTCTCATCGTGGTGTGAACTCCTTTTTATTATTAGCTTGAAATCATTCTTATATAATTAAGAATTGAACATTTTTTTTTTAAAGTTAACAGCTTCCATAATAACTGATTCAAGAGACTTATTAATTAAAATTAAGAGTTATTAATTATACTAATTAGTTTTCCTCTTACATATATATATATACTGGCAAAAGTCATTTATTCTGAATAGAATCGAAAACTCTGGAAATTGTGATAAAGATAATTAATTACAATTAAAACGCTTTCTTTTGTTTTCTTTTGTGCACTTTTTTAACATGAAATTTCTCTAAAGTTCTTCAAAATAAACTCTTGTTTCACGTTAATTTTTTTTTTTGTGTTTCTAATTGAGAAGAATTTTTCTTTTTTCCAATTAGAGGATTTTTTTTTAATTTTATTTTTTATTTACTATAATTGTTTTTTATTTTATAAAAAAAATGAACTGAAACTCGACAAAAAGTTGTCACAATATTCAGTAATTCCAGTATATATATATATTTTTTTTTTCATATACAACCGTCAGAAAAAAAAACTGTTTCAAATAAAAAAAATGCTGCTTTTTATTTGCATAAAAGAAAGGGTTTAGTTTCACTGAAACAAATAAATGACATAATCACAAACAAAGAGTGGAAAATATCTGAATAAAACGGGGGAAAAAAATTTATTTTTTCTGTTTTAATGTATTTAAACAAAAAAAAAAAAAAAAAAAAACGCTGAAATATAAAAAAGAGAATTTTTTTTCTGTACAGTTGAAAAAGTTTTTCGCGAAGAAAAAAGAAATATATATATATATCAATACAGAAAGAATTAATCGATATATTGTTCGCGTCACTTTCATATAAAACAAAACTTTTGATTTCTAATAATTTATGCTATTTGATAGAAAACGGTGTCGTTGATTATAGACACACGTTATCGACTATATAGTCTTTCTCTCTCTCTCTCTCTTTCTCACACACTCATACAAACACTTATATGTGTTCTAAATAAGCATTCGCTTCAATTGTTTTGATACACAAAGAAGATTAAACATACGACAACAATTCTTGCATCGAGTTTATAATGACAAAAGCCGGATTGAAATGAGAACAATTCAAGTTTTCATTGTCAGTTCAAACAAGTTCAATATAAGTTATAGATTGGCAAGAAGTTCATTGTGGATTATATATATATATTAGTATATAAACTTGTCGGGTTCTACGACTATAAATCCCAATTCACGAAAATGATGTAATTTCAAAATTGAAAATATTATATAGAAATAAAATTTAAAAAATTAATTATTTCCAATAAAAATAACATTTAATTAATTCAAATAATAATTATTTAATAGAAATAACAAATAAATTTTTGTTTCAGTGAGAGGAAAATACAAAAAAAATAACGAATTAAAAAAAAATAGTAGTAAAAAATGATTTTAGTCAGACAAATAATGAAATCTTAAATTAAAGTCAGTAGTAACAGACAAAATATCAGTGAAAAAAAATTGTTTCGAAGTCAAAATTTAATAACGCATTTATAGTAGTGAAAGTAAATTTAGGTCAAACTGGTTTAAATTCTATTATGTTTGATAAACAGTCGTTAAAGAAAGTTTCTCCGCCAGACAGTGTGGTTTTTATTCTTGTTATTTTGGGTATGAGTAGTAAAAGTCGATTCCAGTCAGACAGGCGATTTCAAACTCTCGTAAATTTGGTATCATAGGAAAATGTCCGTTTCAGTAGTGAAAGGCCATTTTGGTCAGACATAATAGATTTAGTCCGAGAATGAAATTTCAGTAGTAATAAACAATTGCAGTCAGACAAATTATTTTTCAATGACAATATATAGTAGAAATTATAATAATTTCCGTATCAGTAGTAAAAAAGGAATTATAGTCAGCCAATTCTGTTTAGGATTATTATCATTTTAAAGGTAGTAATAAAAATCAGTTATATTCAAACAATGCGGTTTTTGGTTATTAAAATTTTAATTTTAGTAGTAAAATCAATTATAAGTCAGGCAATTCAGTTTCATATTATTATGATTTTGATATTAGTAGTAAAAAGTAGTTGTCAGACAAACGTTAAATTTTTTTTTATAATCCCTGTAAGTAGTACAAGTCAAGTACCGTCAGGCAAAAATGAAAATATAAAAAATTACCGACAGAGAGATCTACCTTACCGACTGATGGTAAAACAGTTTTTTAAAATATTTTCATTTCTTCAAAAAACTGTTTTACTATCAGTCGGTAAGGTAGATTTCTATGTCGCTAATTTTTTTAATATCTTCATTTTCCAAAAAATTCACCGTCATAGAAATCTACCTTACCAACTGATGGTAAAACAGTTTTTTTAATATTTTCATTTCTTCAAAAAACTGTTTTACCATCAGTCGGTAAAGTAGATTTTTACGTCGGCAATTTTTTTAATATCTTCATTTTCCAAAAAAATTCACCGTCATAGAAATCTACCTTACCAACTGATGGTAAAACAGTTTTTTAAAAAAATATTTTCATTTCTTCAAAAAACTGTTTTACCATCAGTCGGTAAGGTAGATTTCTATGTCGGCAATTTTTTATATTTTCACTTTTCAAAAAAAACTGTTTTACCATCAGTCGGAAAGGTAGATTTCTATGTCGGTAATTTTTTATATTTTCACTTTTCAAAAAAACTGTTTTACCATCAGTCGGAAAGGTAGATTTCTATGTCGTTAATTTTTTATATTTTCATTTTTCAAAAAAATTGTTTTACTATCAGTCGGAGAGGTAGATTTCTATGTCAGTAATTTTTTATACTTTTATTTTCCAAAAAAATTTACCGACTTAGAAATCTACGTTACCAAATGATGGTAAAACAGTTTTTTTTATTATTTTCATTTCTTCAAAAACTGTTTTACCATCAGTCGGTAAAGTAGATTTCTATGTCGGCAATTTTTTATATTTTCATTTTTCAAAAAAATTGTTTTACTATCAGTCGGAAAGGTAGATTTCTATGTCAGTAATTTTTTATACTTTTATTTTCCAAAAAAATTTACCGACTTAGAAATCTACGTTACCAAATGATGGTAAAACAGTTTTTTTAATATTTTCATTTCTTCAAAAAAAAACTGTTTTACCATCAGTCGGTAAGGTAGATTTCTATGTCGGCAATTTTATATATTTTCACTTTTCAAAAAAACACTGTTTTACCATCAGTCGGAAAAGTAGATTTCTATGTCGGTAATTTTTTTAATTTTTTCATTTTTTAAAATTTTTAACCATCTTTTTTTTTTTTTTATTTAGTTCTTTCATTTTTCGTATATCGGGTCCGATATACGTTGGTGTCACTGTACTCTTAAGCAAATAAGAAACGTCTTTTGGTAAAAAGCTTTCTTGAATAAATAACGTGGTTTAATTATCATTTTTCCCGTTATTGTGAAGTATTTTTTGCTAATTGTAAAAAATTTATTTCTAAATTCAACAGAATATATTATATTTAAAAAAATATTTATAATTTTCTTTTTTTCAATTTCAAAAAAAAAGTCCTGTAAATATTAGTATTATTATTTTTTTTTTTTTTTTTTGCTACTTATATATATATAGATAAATTTTGTTCTACAATAAGAGAGGAAAAATTGCAATATCATCTGTCGTGTAAATGTAATAACTTGCATGCGATGGTATAATATAATTTTCGCAGAATGGACTAATAAAGTCGCGTAATTTACGATCCAATTTAATGGCCGACTTCCCTTTAACAGATTCGGAGGGACATTAGTAATGCCTCTTTCGTTTATTAGATCTCGATTATCGATATCCATTTTCCCTCGCATGTTCTGGCTTTTCCCCGTATAATACATATATATATATACATATATACTATATATATATATATATCTATAGTCTCTGCTATTTAATGTAAGTGCCGTGTATATGTGTTGTATATGTATATATATATATAGATATATAGATAAGAGAAAGCATGGACGCGTATTGATGAATCTTGGAATGCGTAGGATACGCTTGTCTTAATCAAACTTTGACCTTGGTAGCTCGATCTGGTTCTCAACTCGGAGGAAGGAGGTGACTTGTCCGATTTCATCACGAACGGGGAATGGTATCTCATCGGTGAGTTTGACTCAACTCCAATTCATTGTCGACCAATCAGGTCGTCAAAACAATTTTTTCAGTGTATGTTTTTTTTACATTTTTGTTTATATAAATGAAAAATATTAGAGAAGCAGACGCATAGCGCCTCCATCGCAGGGTTTCGTGTGGCCAATATTATTATTACCGTTGCTAACAAAAAAAAAATCCTTAGCAACCGTTGCTAAGGAAAAAAAAGTCTTTAGCAACGGTTGCTAAGAAAAAAAATGGTCATGGAAACGGTTAATTAACGGAAATTAAAAATGTTCAACGATATTTCTTGTTTTGTCGTCAACATGTGAAAACCAAATTTTCAGCCACAATGTTCAAAAAAGAAAATTAAATTGGAAATCGTACTTGAAATTAAAAAAAAATTGATGCTTTTTCAGACCAATGTTCCAAGATTTTTTTTTGTTTTTCGAAACGTTAAAAGAAAATTTTAAAGAAAAAATTTGTTTTTCTATTTTTACAGTGGTGTGAAATAAAAGAGAAATTGAAAAAAAAAAATTGAGAAAATAGATGTTGAAGTCAATCATGTGGCAGTAACTTTAATTAAGAGCAAATACTTTTTCATTTTATATAGAGAGATAGCGATGAAATTTCGATAGACAATTAAGAATAAAAGAAAAAAAAAAAAAGTAAAAACCGCAGAAATATATTGAGTTATATATATATATATATATAGTGAAATCGATTAAAAAGAGAAATGTGAGGAAAAAAAAAATTCAAAAGTAATTTGTTGTTGGTAATTGAGATTAGAATTTTCTTTTTTTTAGGGTATTTAAATCGAAATCACAGTCAAATCTTTATTTAGAGTGACAAAGAGGAAATAAAAACCCCTCGAGGTCAGTTGGAATTCTCTTATCTGACTAAAAGCTGGTTAATTCTACTTGAAACGTTAAATCCCCAGTGGAAAAAACTGCGTTTAGTCAGACCTATATATTTAATTCACTAAAGTTTTTCTTCTTTATATATATATAAACATATATTTTTTTTTGTAATCTTGGAACTTTTGGGTCTAAAAAATAAAACAAAAAAAACATGCTTTCAATAGGAATATTTTGAATAATTTATTTTCATTGATTGATTTTGTTTCGTTTTAATCGATAATAATTAATTCCAAGTCGTAAAAAAAAAAGTAAATCGCATTTAGTTGTTTTATAATGATACGAAAGGGGAGAACTTAAATAGACAAAAGAGGGGAAACGGGACGACTTAAACAGAAATGTTTAATGAAACCTTTGCCCTCGGAGATTACAACAAATTTCCCTCGAAAGAGGAAGAAGTTCAAAGGTGGATACGAATGCGGAATGAAGTTTGCAATCAAAACTAAATGTTTTACTTAACGAAACTGTAGAAAGTTTATTAGGATTTCTCCCACTATTACTATCATATATGTTTGCACAAGAAATGTGACATTTCTGCGGTTGATGAAGCATATATACATTTACATTTCATATATATAATTTTCTAAATAATCTAAAATATATATATTTTTTCCAATACAAAATTTGTAATTTTCATTTTAGAAATTCATTGATATTTTTTTTAAAGTTATGAACAATAAATGAAAATTGAAGAAAGAAACATCAAAAAAGTAAAATGATAATTTTGAGAAAAGAAAAATGAAAAATTTTCATCACGTTCTTCTTCGAAATTCTCTTCTTTTTTTTTCTTTTTAACTTTTACGTCCTATTCTAAGACATTTGCAGAAAACAAAGCTGACAGAGTTCTTGTAAATCGAACGTGACTAGAGTCGGTTTCCAAAAGCTTTTCTGCTTTTTATCAAGTCCGAGGAGCCAAGAATTTTACGAGTTCCGACAGTTACTTGAATTTCAGTTCTGTTTAATTTTTACAACTCTATTACTATTTCTTTTCTCTCTTTTTTTTTAAATTAAACACGTTTTCCAAAAAAGATAAAAAAAAAATTATATTAAATTCCCTTTTTGTTTACAATTTTAAAAATAGACAAAAAAAAAATTTTCTATTGATTTTAAATAATTATTTTCATTTCATTGAATTTCAAACAAAAAAATAATTATTATTATGATTATTATTATTATTGTTCCTATATTTCAATATTGTATATATTTTAAATATTTACAATAGAAACAATCATCCACAAAAATATGAAAGCAAAATATTTTATCAATATATATATATATATATAAAGTACAGACAAAATTCATCATTATCTCAATATCTGAACATTGGTTTTAACACACAAAAGCTTTTCTGGAGCTCAAAACTCGTATCTCTGTTATCACGTAACGATTCATAAAAAATGTTTCAACAATACCATCAATATAAATTCCACTGTCGATGAAAATCTAAAATGAAACTCAACTCAAAATAAAAGAAAAACAATTTATCTATAAATAAGAAAAAAAAATATACAGTTATATATTATAGAACATATTTGTACCAATTAAGGAATAGTTTTCAGAAAATTAAATATTAAGAAATTTCACCTATAGATTATTTTAAATTACAATTTATTTTGAAAAATTATTTTTTTTTTGAGTTTTTAATAAAAAAAATTTATTTTATTCAATAATCATTTACTTTATCAAATGAACTCTCTAAATCTGAATTAGTAAAAATGTTTACTAACACAGAAAATTAAATAGTATTAAAATAAGCGTTGCAGCTTATTTTAATGCCTTTTAATTTTCTGTGAATTTAAATTAGTGACTCACTTTTTACTTTAGAATTAGTTAAATTTTACTAATTATTAGTAAAAGTTACTATAATAATTAGTAAAATTTTACTAATTGAGAAGCAAAAAGTGAGTCACTAATTCAAATTAGTAAACTTTTTTTACTAATTCAGATTTAGAGAGAATATTTACTTGAAGGAAATAATTTTTATTTGAATTAAATAAATTTTATTTGAACCAATAATTTATGTATTTGAAACAAATGCCATTTAATTAAATCAAAATAATAATTATTTGGGAATATTCAAATTATATTTTATATTATCTTGATTTTTATTTTTTTTTTTCCAATGTAAATAATAAACTTTCTACAGCGAGTTGAAAAAAAAGAACAAAATAAGTAGTGTTAAAATATATCATTCAAAATCAAGAAATGAAGGGAGAAAAAAAAATGAAACAAATAATCTGCTTCTCTAACTAAACATCATTTCAAAGTGAAGAGATAGTTTCTTGAAGGAAACGATCGAAAGCGTGTTTTTCGAGGCTTGAGACGTAAAAGCATTGAATCAACCATCGTTCACTGATGCAGTGAAGAGAAAATCTATTGAGTATCTCGACCGCAATTGTCGTTTCGCAAATGTTTCAACGAGTTTTGCCACAGCCACGTTCATCGAACGATATATATATATATATATATATATATATATTTTTGTAAAATAAAAAAATCGATGAACGAGGTTGCAAAAACGATATTCTTTTTGCAAATAAAAAAAAAATTTTTTTTTTTTTTAATATAAAATTGATTTTACCTTTTTACAGGAATGCCAGGAAAAAAGAACACCATCACCTATCAATGTTGTCCAGAACCCTATGTTGACATTACATTCACCATTAAAATTCGAAGACGTACCCTCTACTATTTCTTTAATCTCATCGTGCCCTGCGTTCTTATTTCGAGTATGGCGCTGCTTGGTTTCACTCTGCCACCTGATTCAGGAGAAAAGCTCACGTTAGGTAATGTAATTTTTAGCATGTTTCAATTGTATATATTGCTTTTCACACCTTAACCCACCTTACCCCCCCAAAAAAAAGATATTATCTTTCTTTCTCACTAAATATTGTAAAATGCCTCTTTTGTATATTTATTGTCACCTAATTTTTCTTTTTTCAGCAAATTTATTTTTTTTAAAAAAAAACCTACTAAACTAAATTGATAATAACGATATTGATCCATATGTAATAAATGGTGATACTCGGACGATCCGTTGGAGATTCTCATTGTTCTCGATTACTAACTATATATATGTGGATTGTTACATGTTACAACTATCCATATACGTACATATTAGTTAAGAGCTAATACAAACTACATTCAATTTCAAAGTCCTTCTTTTCTAACATGAAAATTCTTTTTTTATAAGCGGATTTAAAATCTACGGATGAATATTAGCGTTTCAAAAAAAAAAAAAAGTTATAAATCTTTAGTCAAAAAAGAAAAAAAATATTTTTTAACTTAACAGGGATTAAAAGAGAATAATTTCTACGCTCAGAAAAAAGATATGTTTGAACCAAATGTACCATTTTTTTTATATTTACCCAATTTTTTGATTAGTTCAAAACAAAATTTGTTTAATTCAAATAAATATCTATTTGATCTAAATAACTGTTTGGGTTTATTTTAATAAATTTTATGGAACAAAGAAAAAATTTGATTGAGCTAAATATAAACGTTTGGTTTATGCAACCAAATATTTGGTTAACTGTATATCAATGCATTTATTTTGTTGATTTAACCAAAATTTGGTTGCTTCAAACGAATTTTTTTCTAAACGTAAAATTAAAATTTGAGAAAAAAATTTCTTATTTTCAAAATATTATTATTATAGGCAAAAAAAAATAGTTTATCAACATTTTCAATTGATTTGCTTTCATGTGTGTACATATATTGAATATAGATATATATATATATATACTATCAAATTGATACCACACCCATTTATTTGCAATCGATACTATCGAAAAATTGATGGTGCTGTAGTAAACTGTAAACGAGTTAACTTTTAGCGCCAATTATTTACTATTGACAGATGAAATGGAGTAGATGGTTATCTTTCATTAAATGTCAAAATGCATTTCTTTCTATTAGTGCATCGATGCCTTTTTTTTTAAATTTAGTTTTCCCTCGTAATTTAAAATTGTAAACAAATTTTTAAAAAAAAAATTCCCAACATTTACAAAATTATAAAATATTTTAAAAATTTATTATTAAATAATAAAATTTTTTTCTAAAACTTATTATTAAATAATAAAATTTTTTTCTAAAACTTATTATACAGTTTGAATAACCAGAAAAACAATATATATTTATCTCAGAGCTAAATAAATAATTATTTGCGACATATTTTTATTTGATTCAAATTATTATTGCTTTAATAAAATTTGTTTCAAATAAAAAATAAATAATTATTTTAATTTAAAAACGTATTTTGTTAATTCTATAAAAAAAATTTACATGACAAATTAAAAAAAAAAAATCTTTTCATCTAATTTATCTGTCTAATTCAATGTTGTTGAGAGAGAAAAGTGAATAACACAATTCAGTGTATAGGCCTTAAATTAAATTCAATTCTAATTCAATTTAACTTAATCTCTGGTCCAGTTAAACTCAATCTATAAGAGGATTCACTAATCGATTGCAATAGATAGATAGATAGAGAGAGAGAGGTTACTTAAAGCTAAAATAGTGGCCATAGTGCTCTATTAGCTCATCTTTTTCCTCGTTATATGTGTATGTATGTGTGTCGCGTTTGATAACTAGTAGGCAGTTAAATCAAGTTATCAGACCAGTTCAGTCTCAAACTATTTGAAGTTTGCAAATTTTCCCCCTAAAAAGTTCAACGAGATTCATCAGATAATTGCAACTTTATAATATTTATATAGGAATTAAAAACTTTTTCATCAATTTTTCTTTTTTTCCTATCGAATATCATTTATTCTTAATTTTTATTAATATTATTATTATTTAGTTTAAAATTTTTTTTTTCAATTTCGAGTATTAAATCGATATAATATTATCGAATCGTTTTATTAAATTCTTTATTTTGGAAACCTTTTTTGCAATAAAAAAAAAAATCTCCAAAGGTCTTAAAATTAGAGGTGTGAAACTTTATATCTTTTGAAGTGAAACAAGACTTAAAAACTTTTTTTTATTGAGACTGCTTAAACATTCACGACACAATTTTCCATTTAAACTTTTACTGACTGGTTAAACCAGGCATGAAAAAAAAAATTCTTACAAAAAAAAAAAACAAACTAAAAATCCTCTCTTGTCTCCTCTGGCTTTTCTTTCGAATATATTCTCTGAAATTTTTTCTATGCATTAAAAAATCCTTTTACCATATATATATAAAGCTGATAAAAAATATGATAAAAAATAGTCAAAAAATTTTCAATTGTCATTTTTTTTCAAAAGAAATAAAAGAGACAATTTTAATATTTTTTTCAAATTCTTTTTCTGTAATTATTATCGAATTGGTAAAATTTAACTTATTCAAAATCAAAAGAATTACTAATTAAAATTCGTTAAAATTACTACTAATCCAATCACCCAGAGAAATGATTTATTTGAAGCAAATAAAATATATTTGAGTTAAATAAACGTATATTTGTCTCAGAGCCTACTAACTTATTTATTTGGAGTAAATAAAAATTTTATTTGTCAGAAATAAATTTTTCTTTGGCTCAAATAAATTTTTTATTTCAATGAAATAAAATATATTTGCAACAAATAAATGAGTTAGTAGGCTCGGAGACAAATATACCATTTCTCTGAGTCAAGAGAGTATTTGTTTTATTGAAATTCTTATTATTTATTATTAATTTTATTTATTAATTAATAATTTATTAGTTTATTAATTATCAATTTTATAAATTATAAAATAATATAATAATAATTAATATATTTTAATATCAATATATGTACACAACTGGAAAACCTCAAATTTTCTCTCTTTCTCAATTTTTAAAAGACACCTGAGACATTTATAAATTTATATTCCCACTTCTCTATAAACGGACGTCCGAGTTATGCCAAACGAAAAAAAGAACGTGATTTGAATTTGGATCGGATTTCGGTGAGATCTTTTCTTCAAAAAAAAAAAAAAAAAAAAAAAAAAAAAAATGGAAAAGAAAAAAACGTGTATTAAAAAAATATAGTTTATAGATAATAATGAATTTAGTTTACTTTCTAGTCAATTCATTATAGATTACAGGTAGACGGTTTCGGTAAGACGAAAAATGGTGCTTGAGCGAAATTTTCTTGGTATGTGAATATCAAAAAAAAAAAAAACAAAATTTCTTTTTGATTATAGAAAAATAGTTTCAAACACTGATAAAAAATTAGTTTTTCTGGTAAAAAAAAAAAAAAATGTTATTACAGCAATCAAAAAAACGACGGAATTCAGGAATCAAAGAGGGAAATAAGGAATCAAATTAATGGGAATACAGCACATTGTTCTGTGGTTCAGAAAGTATTCCTTTGGTCACCCCATTTATTATTTTTTTTTTCTATGAAATTTAGTGTAGAAAATAGAATTTTTCAAAATTGAATAAAAGAAAGTTTATTCATTTATTAGCTTGAGACTTTAGATTTTCGTATTACTATATATATATATATATATATATATAAACACAACTGGCAGTAGTAGATTTACATCAGAATGGACTCAAGGAGTCAGAAGTTTCTCTTGTTGCATTATTGTTGCTGGACCAACAATTTGGACAACACTATACAATTTCTAACTAATCTTAACTCTAAAATGTATACGAAACAAGCATTCTAATACACTTTACTGACAGTGCAAAGTGCCCTTTATGAATATATTAATTCACATATGCGTCTTCTCACAATCAAAACGTCTTTCGCAAATTCAACACGAGAAAATAAAAAAGAATATTCTTAAAATTAAGAATAAAAAGAAAATCTTTGAAAATATTTAGGTTTATTGTACTCTTAGAATAATATGTTTTTAATAAAATAAATGCAATTGCAGATTAGAGCTCAATTTTCAAATTTATTTTTCGATAAATATTTTTAAATAATTATTATTTGAAATGATATTTTGTTTCAAATTTCAATTATTTTTGGTTTCAAAACATATTTCAAGTAAATATTTATTTGACAATAGTCAAATAGTTGAGTATTCAAATAAATTTTTTTCCAGTTATTTTATTTTTTAAAAAAAAATTTTCTATATGAGTACAATAGAATTTAAAAATTGATTTTTTATTCATAATTTTAATTATAAATTTTTTTAATCTCTGTTTTTAATTTAATCCTTTATTAATTTATGGTAAAAACAGTTTTCTCATTATTTTGCTAAAATCGTTCTCCTCGAGTTCATTAAACTTTTTTTTATATTCCCAACTCAGTTAATTGTGTGTAGTTCACAATTTCGCAAAGAACTACGGAGAAGAAAAAGGAAAATTCGTCAACAGAAAGGTGGGGGCATAAAATCTTAATCAGACGTTTATCTTGACTTTATAAACGTAGATAAAGCTTTCGTCGTTTGAGGGCCTTTTAGTTACTCAAAAGATATATTTTAGATTGCAAAGAAGAAGAAGAAGAAGAAGAAGAGGAAACATGTCTCGGGCAAGTTTGGTTTTAATTGGAAAAAGCAAAAGGAAAGGAAAACAAAACAAAACGTAAAAAAAGATAAAAACAAAACGCTTGCCCGAGTGAGGAAGATAATTTTGTAATTTCCGAGTTACATGGAAGCGAGAGAAATAGAGGAAATGTAACTCGTTAAAACATTTGCAGGGCAATCTCGGACTCATTGTCAAAGTGTCCCTGTGATTTGTGTCAGCGATAAATTCGTTGCGTGTGGATGTTAAAGCACTGTATACAAAAAAAAAAAAAAATATATTCCCGAATATGTCGGGTCGGGGGCTTTCTATCAGAATTTTATTGGACTCAAATAGTCGTTTATCAGTTATTCTGCTTTTTGCAGTGAATCATTCGAGGGTTTAGTGTCGTCCCTTGTCAAAAAATACCCATCAGACTTTCACCATTCAATGTGACACGATCAATGATAGTTTCTGTTTCAAGTTAACTGATGCTTATGTAATTTTTTTTTAGATAAAAATTTTCGAAATAAATTCGTTCGAAAAATTATTTTATGAAAAAAAATTAGTTTGATATAAATTTTTTCATTCAATTTCTTTCTAATATTCCATTAAAATTTCTTTAAATTATAATAAAGGTAAATTTAAAATTTTGTTTTTATTATCAACTATATATCAAAGAAGAGGTCAGAAACTTATAAATCTTTTCTTATATCGAAAAAATATCACAAGGAGAGCATTTTGTATGTTTCATTTTAAGAAGCTTATTTATGATTCTTAATGGGTACTTATCGATTCTTGACAAAAAATATATAATTTTTTTTTTATAGAGTTAGTAAGCTTTATATCTATAAAAGTTGAAGAATAATTTTCTTTAAATTATGAAAAATTTCTTGTAAAAATTGTACATAATTTGAAATTTAAAAAATTATTCACAGTTAAAAAATTGTTGGCATTAATATAAGAAAAAAAAAAAAGAGCGATTCTGTTGAAAGAGGAAATTCAAAGGCACACCGGTAGCTTCCCTAGTGGAAGATACAGTATATTCGTAAATGGTTCATCGAACTCAAGTGCTCCTTCGCATTTTCTCGGTCGAAGAGACTCGAAGGAAAGCTTCTACGATGGAAGCAGCACAATATCCAAAGAGAGGCCGAACGAAAGAAAAATGTACATCACTAAACAGTGAATCTCAACTTGTAAATTTTTTTTTCACTACCGAAATTTAAAAAAAAAAAGAATGGAAACACTTCCTATTGTTCTCTATCATTTAAAGAATTTTTCTAATTTTTATTTTTCAAATTTTTTCCTTTTTCGAAAACATATTTTACTTCCCTAAAAGAGAGAAATTTATCCTAATAAATTAAATGAGATCCACTGTCTCTTACTTTTTATCTTCAGTGCAGTTTTTGTGTCACTCTCAGTCATCATTGAGATGAAAAAAAATATATTGACGCAATATTTCTATAATCTCACTGATTTGTGATCGTCCCTTTTTTTCCTCCTCATGAATAACATTTAACAATAAAAAAATTCCAATCGATAAAATTATATCGCAAAAATAACAATTGAAAAAAAAAATGTAAATGAATTTTTGGAAGGAAAATTTTTATTTGTAATTTTCAATGCCTTTTTTTGTACACCATGACATAAATGGAATTTTTCTCTTCTAAAAAAATCAAGAGAAATTTAAAAAAAAAATCTAATTCCACTAATGAAATGAATTCGTAGAAATATACGACATGAAACTCGAAAGGCTACTACTGCTAGTAGACGTGCACTTGATTGGACATTATCATCACAAAGAGAAAGGAGAGAGTGAGACACAACGTGGTTGTGTATGTACAAGAACCCTTACGTATGTGCTCTTCTATCAAAATGCGCATATACTTAAAAAGAAAATCTGCAGCAAACCACATGACTAAATAAACAGTATATTATATATATACAGTATCAAATATTAAAAAAAAAATCACTAAAATTTTTAACCACATTTTAATTATAAATACTTTTTTATCATATTTTTTTTCTATTCAAAAATTTTGTAAATTAATTTTTATTTAAAATTCCCAAATATATGGGATATTGATAATTTCAAGGATTTGGAAATTCGAACATGATTCTGATTTTCCCAGTAATTGACCAGCACCACCGATGGCCATTAGATTTGTCCCAAGAGGTTGATGTCTGAACAAGAGGAACGTCCTTAATAGAGATCATGTTCTGATCCTTACCATTAGGATAACTCTCATCGTTACATATGTGGCTATGACAATTCTAATGTAGATGATTATCGATTGTTTCAATCAATAGCCTATAATCCACTTATGACACTAAATGGCATCATCTATTTACAACTCTAAATGGAATCATCTAGTTAACAATATATTCGAGATATATATATATATATATATATACATACGTAAATAATCCTTTCATGAAGCACATATTCCTTTACACAATCACAAACTATTAATCTCAGTGTGTCATTAATTTCATACCAAACACTTCATATATAGAACTTCTGTGTATACAATTATAAATTAATTCTGAATTAGTTTATAATAATTGGCCAAAAATTTCTATAGAGATTTTTTGAAAAAAGTGGTTCAAAAAAAAAATGCTGCAAGGAAGGACATTTTAATATGGAGAAAACAATTAATAAAATAATTGAAATGATCAAAATGAATTTATAAAATTCATTACAAAATCAGGACGCATATTATTCTTCAAAAAAATATTAGTCAGTGTATCGAATTTCATTGCGTAATAGATACTATAATCAACGAACCAAAATTTCATACAGAATTTCAATATCTAAACTGATTTTCAATTAACAGAATTTGTCCTATAATCATATTATTATATATATAACAGAATATTCAATCAAAAAGGAAAATTTTCATTTAACAGAATTTCTGTTTAATTTAATTTTTATTAAAAAAAAATTTTTTTCATTGATAAAACATTCAGACAAAGTTCCATTTAAGTTTGTATTTAGCAAAATTATTGTTTGATTTTTGATAAAAATTAAACTGTTAATGTTAGGCAAAATAAAAATTCGGCTAAACAAAAATTTATAAAATATAAAACTTCCGCGAATTAGATCACGGTTTTCGCAAAATTAGACTACGAATTCCGCGTAATTAGATCGCGGATTCAGCAAAACTAGGTCACGCTTTTCGTGAAATTAAATCATAGTATTAGCGAAATTAGATCGCGTAATCCGCGAAACTAAGTCTCATGATTAGCGAAAGTAGATCGCGGATTCCGCGAAACTAGGTCTCGGGATTTGCGAAAGTAGATCACGGAATTCGTGAAGTTAGGTCGCAGAATCCGTCAAATTAAGTCTCAGGATTCGCGAAAGTAGAACACGGAATTCGCGAAAAAAGATCGCGGAATCCGCGAAAGTAGATCACGGAATTCGCGAAACTAGATCGCGGAATCCGCGAAATTAGATCACAAATTCCGCGGAACTAGGTCACGGATCCGCGAAACTCGATCACGGTTTACGCAATTATTAGATTAGCGCAATTAGATCACGAAATTCGCGAAATTAGGTCGCGGAATCCGCGAAACTAAGAATCATGATTCGCGAAAGTAGATCACATAATCCGCGAAACTAAGTCTCATGATGAAAGTAGATCACGGAATCTGCGTAACTAGGTCTCGGGATTTGCGAAAGTAGATCACGGAATTCGCGAAAATAGATCGCGGAATCTGTGAAATTAGATCACAAATTCCGCGGAACTAGGTCACGGATTCCGCGAAACTAGGTCTCGAGATTTGCAAAAGTAGATTACGGAATCCGCGTAACTAGGTCTCGGGATTTGCGAAAGTAGATCACGGAATTCGCGAAATTAGATCACAAATTCCGCGGAACTAGGTCACGGATCCGCGAAACTCGATCACGGTTTACGCAATAATTAGATTAGCGCAATTAGATCACGGAATTCGCGAAATTAGGTCGCGGAATCCGCGAAACTAAGAATCATGATTCGCGAAAGTAGATCACATAATCCGCGAAACTAAGTCTCATGATTCGTGAAAGTAGATCACGGAATCCGCGTAACTAGGTCTCGGGATTTGCGAAAGTAGATCACGGAATCCGCGAAATTAGATAACAAATTCCGTGGAACTAGGTCACGGATCCGCGAAACTCGATCACGGTTTACGCAATTATTAGATTAGCACAATTAGATCACAGAATTCGCGAAAATAGATCGCGGAATCCGCGAAATTAGATCACAAATTCCGCGGTCTTCGCAAAATTAGATTAAGAATTCCTCGAAACTAGGTCACGGTTTTCGCGAAATGAGATCACGAATTTCGCAGAACTAGGTAATGGATTTCGCGCAATTAAATCACGGAATCTACGAAACTAGGTCACAGTTTTCGTAAAATTTAATCACGGTATTAGTAAAATTATATCACGGATTCCGCGAAATTAAGCCACGGATTTCGCGCAATTAAATCACGAAAAATCTACGAAACTAGGTCAGGGTTTTTTTTTTTATATTTCACCATTAATTCGGTGAAACTATAGTTTACGAAGTTTGCAAAAAATGGTCACGGATTACGCGTAATTCTGTTAAATACCTATACAATTCGGTTAAATTGAAATATCATTCAATAGAAATTTAGCCAAATAAAATTTCATCAATAAAATTCTGCTGAATGAAAATTCTATTAAATAAATATTTATTCAATAGAAATTCTGTCGATTGAAAATTCAGACCTAAAAATTCAAATCCTTGGATAAATTCAATGTTATTTCTAAATCTGTGAAACTAAAAACCTACTAAATTTATTGAACAGAAGTTTAATAAAAAAATCCTACCATCAAGAAAGAGAATTCTTACTGAAATTAATGAAACAAAACTCACATATTTTTTTGTAAAAAAAATTTACAATTCATCTTCTTCACTTGAAGCCTGTGTGTCAAAAAAAAAAAAAAAAAATGGACAAAAGAAAATGGAAAAATTTTTCTTTTACAATTTAAATATTAAACTGTCACAATCATAAGGGGGACAAAATAAAAATGTCAAAAACACTGACGTTCAAAATGATTCGCGATTAAATGTTTATGAGAATTGTGGATCACAAAATAAAAAAGAAACGAAAATTCACAGATGATCGAATTTTCCTTTTTCTTCTTTTATTTTTGCCCAATGCAAAAATTATTCTCTTCGTAGGGGTGACCATCCTGCTGTCGCTCACAGTGTTCCTGAACCTCGTTGCAGAAAGTATGCCGACAACTTCGGACGCTGTTCCCTTAATAGGTACCTATGTATATGCTCTCTCAATAAGCCTGTCTATCTGTCTGACTGATGATTGTCTACCCCTATGCATCTTCCTGTCACCGGACTGCCCGCGAGACTAAATACCATCATTTGAAAATTGCCAAAAAATATATCTTTTCGAGCAAAATTTCTCGAAAACTATTTCCAAAAAATATTTCACATTGAGTATTTATGCAATGGACGCGCGCGTTTATTATTTTCTCAAACCTGCAAATTATTCACAATCAATTATTTTTTCTAAATTTATTATTTTACGTTTTTTTAATTTTCTTTAATCTAATTTATTTAAAGAATATTATTTTTCTTTGTATTAATAATAATAAAATGAAAAAGAGATTAAAAAATATTTTCATTTTCTGAATATTTTGTAAGAGAATAATTTCAAAAAATGTTACAAGGACTCTGGAGCATAATATAATATAATAATAATAATAATAATATTCATAGAATTTTATTTACCTCAAACATCCGTTTCATTCAAATGAGACATAATATTTGGATATAGGAAATTACATATTCACTATTCTCTCTTTTTTTTTTGCATTTCCTACTTCAATTTCCTTTTATCCTTCTATTTCTATCTTATTAATATTTTTGTTATATAATTTTTTTAAAGATCTTTCTTCTCTTTTAACCCAAACAAAAAATTATTCATACAATTTTTTTTCTTCTATTCTCAAAAATTATTCTTTTAAACTAAATATTTATTCAGAAAATGAATTAAAAATTATTTTTTTTTTAAGTTTATTTTAAAGCGCCGTCATCGCATTTGCTCAGTGAGAATATAGTGGTTTTTTTTTTTTTTTTTGAACCCAATGTGAATTAATTCCATCGTTTATCTTGTTCTCCCTGACCTATCCAAAAACAAAATTTAAAGTGTCCCTCGATTTTCTTGCACGCTCATCCTTTTCCTGAAATATCCTCTAGGAGGCAAACCTCTATAGGGACCTTTTTTTTTTGTCAAATCTATGACCTCAAAGCACCACCGGTTCCGTCGTAATAAATTTGAAAAAAAAGTTATTATATTCAAAACATTAATCCTCTAATTTTGATAGGATTCAGCGACACATGAAATGGATTAAGCGAAATAGGAATACATCAACGGATCTCACCATAATTTTAATTAAAAAGGTGAAATTAGAAAAAAAAAAAAAAAAATTCTTAGGAGAATGACGACTCCTAAGATTTTTGACGACCATTTCAAATTACGTACTAATAATATATATATATTTAAAAAAACACACACAATGCTCGACTTTAATTAAAACGCTGCCGCGGGTGGCTCTTGGTAAAAGCAGACTCTAAAGTACTTCTTAAAAAACAAAACGATAAAAAAAACGAAACTAAAAGCAAATTCTTTTGTGTAGCGTGCTAACGGTAATGTTCTTTCTCTCTCCCTCTCTTTCTATTTTCTATTTTTTTTTTTTTTTAACCTGTGGTAGTCATTATACTTTCTCTCATAAACAGATTAGCTACACTCTTTCTTTCTTTCTCTTTCTCTCTCTCTCTTTCCCCCCTCATCGAGGAAATCTTTGCGATTTTGCATCTTCTGCCTTTAAGGCGAGCACACTGGTGAAACAAGACAAAGTCGATAATTACCTTTGCCTAGCAATTAACTTGCATGAATGTTTTCTTTGAAAATAATTTTATCTCGCATATATAGTTTAAATATCTTGAGAAAGTATTTCTCCAGGGTAGCATATAATAATACAACAAACCAGTATATAAAAATGCATTTTGTAGAGAAAAAAAAAATAAATAATTTTTCTAGGTCAACGAAATTTATTCATCTCAAGAATAATTATAAAAATTTAATATAATCATAAAAAAAAACAAAACTTTCAGTTTTTCATCAAGAAAATATTTACCAGTCTCTGTCATAAAGGTAAGATTTTTGTCTCCTAATATTTAGATTTTTAAATAAAAATTAATAATATTTCAATAGAGCACAAATAATAATATATCTGAAATTTGCTATTAAACAATAATTTTAATTTTTACTTTAATAATATATATACGGTAATTTTGCATTCTCCTAAATGCATGTTGACTCTTCTGCTTCCCCTTAAGACTACTTTTCTCAAAATGATAAAAATTTTCAATGAAAAATAATTCTAGAAAAAAAAAAATCCCTTTTTTTAAATAAATAAAATTTACTTTCGACTGCATGTCTCGCTTCTCCAGTATGTTCGCTTATTTTTCTTATATGTACGTATAAAAGTAATAAAAAAAAAAAATAATAATAACAGCGTATCGAACTTTAAAAGGAAAGAGACGCTAAGCGAATAATAATTTCGATTTTGTCATTCTCATCACGTTGTGCTCAGTGATGCGAGTACCTATTTTTAAGTAACATTCAATTAATCCTTTAAAGATTCTTTCAGCTATCGAGATACTTCCTGAGCGGTCGAGAAACTTTTTTTTTTCAACACTTTATATGGAGAAAAAGCGATTTTATTTTTTAAAAAAAATAATTTTCAAAGCTCATTTAAAAAAAAAAATCATCGAATGCCAGATGATGATCTTACCGCTTATAATTTTAACGCGGTGAAAATAATTCTTTTTTTGAAAAATGAAATTCTAGGGATTTCTTACATTGCGGTAAACCTCATTTGAAACGGTGATTCATAGAGTAGATTCAAATATTCAAATTTTCACCTAAAATCAAGCCAGTTATTAAGAAATGAAAAAAAATGAAAAGATTTACAGGGATGTGAATTAAAAAATTTTAGAAAAATTATTTATAATTATTTTCGATCAAAATTCGATCCAATGAAAATATGAACAAATTCTAGAAAATAATTTGGTATTTTCATATTCTTTTCATATTGGGAAAAATTTCTAATTCTTTCATTCTTTTTTTGGGGAAATTTATACACGACATCAACTGGTATAATTGTGTCTGAGACCGGGAAATTTTTTTTTTTTTTTTTTTTTTTTTTGCACATGAATCTACCAAGTGCATGCAATTCACAAGGGCCATCGTGACAGGCGTATCCCACATCCCTCTTTATTTACCCTTGACTTTCAGACGTGACTTTCAAATAGAAAAGAAATTTTTCCCAAATGGACAATTCACTACGAAAATTACGGCAACACATTAATGGTAACTTTAAGAACTATCTCTCAACGAAAATTTGTCATATGGGAAAAAGTTTTTAATCAAGTTAAATTATTTTTTTATCGCCACGCTTTTATAAAAAATAGGAGCAACTTTTTGAAAAAATAAAAACAAAATTTAATGCAAAAAAGGCAAATTTAATTTTAGTACGACAAAAAAAAAAAAAAGAAAAAAAATATTTAATTTTAATAATGAGACTAATAATTTCTCGAAAATTTGAATATATTAAAATCATGATCGTTTATTTATAAGGAGCATGTAAATTAGCAGTCGGTGCGATAAGAAAGGAAATAATTTATAGCATCGTAATATTATTAATTAAGAGTATTAAATAAGAGAAATTAATCTTTCTGCAGACAAATCTCTTGTTTCTTCATTGAATGAAGAAAATTTATTAGCTAGAGGCAAATAAACTATACACTATGTCAAAAGAAATGAAGATGAAAATTTTCCACAGAGAATTGGCTGATATTCTCAAATGAATGTACCATTAATTAATTTCATAGTTAATTATATATATAAAAGTCGATTTTAATTTCAATTTTTTATTTTGAATTAAAAATTCGTAATTTTTTTTTTTTATTTTACTTTTAATTACAAAATTGGAATTTTTTATAAATTAAAAAAATTTGAATTTATTATAAATTAAAAAAATTTGAATTTACTATAAAGTAAAAAATTGGAATTTATTATAAATTAAAAAAATGAAATTTTCGAAAAAAATATCTAGGAACATACGAGACAAGGAATTTTTTTTGTTTTCAAAATATTGGAAAATGTGTGAGAATTTGTTGAAAATCAATTTCTTTTTTTTTCTTTTTTTTTTTTGAAATAAAATAAAAATCAAAAAGAAAAAAAAGAAACCAAGCGGATAATTTGCTATATCGCGAAGATGAAGAGGGATCTGAGAATAGTCGACAATTTTCACGATGGCCCTGACAGAAAAATTCACTTCGATCTTTCTCTCTCTCTCTCTCAGTATCATTACCAGACCAATCGGATCAGGGGGAAAGAGTTCTCGATTTTCGAGACATGATCGGAAATATTGCTCTCCAGTGTAATACTCCTATATATGATCGTTTTGAAACGAGCGTCGTCGCCTGTTGAGTCATATCTCTCTCTCTCTTTTTTTTTCCCCCTCATGATTGTATAAACAATAATACTGGACATTCTTTCTCAATATTGTTCGAAAAAGAAAAAAAAAAAAATTTTCAAATTGTAAATTTTTATTCTACATGAATAAAAATTCCATTTTCAAAAAAAAAGTTACAAAAACTTTTATACTAAAACAAGTTTTGTTTTTAGTCATTTTCAACGGATTTTGTTATTCTCATAAATAGAACAATTTACCAGAGTTTCAAAACTTTTATTTATTTATTTTTTTTTTTTACTAGGACAGTTGAGAAAGAATGTCCCATATACATAAAAGATTGGTATCTACCTGAAGCGAAACCAGACGATTTGGCAGTGATAGGAGTGTGGTCTTATATATATATATACACAACTTGTTGGGAGGAAAAGGGGTGGGGGGTTGGAATTATCGTCAATTCTGGTTTCCCAGCTTGTTTACTCGCAATTGCCGCCTTACTGCTTTGGTCGTTATTGAAATAGGAGAGAAGGGAAATTTATATAAAAGATAAAGAAGGGGTCGAGCTGATAACGTGTATAATTTGTAGCAAACATTAAATTAATCCACAACAATTTAACTATAAACACAACCCCATTATATATCATTGAAAATTACATTTACCTAATTATTATTATTATTATTATTATCATTTTGACAAGATAAATATCCTTTGGATGTTAAATTAACCAAACAGGTAATTTTACTTCAGGCAAACAAATTAATATTTTTGTTATTATAAATTAAATATATGTTTATTTAATATTTCTTTTTGATATTAATTTTTATAATATTAATTTTTTATATTAATTTTACAATAATTTTATATATTAATTTTTTATATTAATTTTACAATAATATTATATATATATTAATTTTGTTATATTAATTTTGTTGTATTAATTTCTTTGTATTAATTTTTTTTTTTGTATCAATTTTCTTAATTCAATTTTAATATATATTAATTTTATTTAGTAATATTTTTTTTCTCTTTTAATTATCTCTTTGAAGTTAAATTGTAAAAATCTTCTGTAAATTTGAACTCTTCCTTTCGAATGAGTTACTAACTTTTTTTTTTTTCTACAGTAACAATTTCCCTTTGAATTTTTTAAATTGAAAGAGAGAATTTTCATTGAAAAAAAAATTCAAAATAAACAAAAAGGGGGATTTGGACAAAAAAAATGAGAGGTAAAATTAAAAAAGTGTCTTTTACCAAATGTGGAATAATTTTGAAAGCAGTAAACAAATTTTTCCAATTTTTTTTTGTATAGACTTCATATTAAAAATTCGTGCGATATTTTCTACTAATAACAAAAGTAATTAGTTTGTGTGTAAATTGGAAATTTAGTCTTAATTGAACGGGTTTGGAAAAAAAATTCCCTTTCACTGCCAAGTCAACTGGTTTTTTTTTTAAATAATTAAATTTAAGCAGAAATTGACGGATTAAAAAAAAAAAATTTTTTTTCGTATTTTTATTGTACTTACTTGAATATTTTTTCAGACCAATGGGGAAGGTAAGTTTTATGTAATACCGCAGCGGCAGCGCCCGCAGACGTTGATTGCAATAAAGAACCAGCTCGAAGTCGCTTTAAGTAAACGATTCTCAAGTCTCTGAAAATTAAACACACAGTTCAAAAACTTTATTGTCTCACATTGAAAACTTAATTAATTTGAATATATTTATTCTCTGTGAGAATAAATTTCATCAGAGACCTGCCGGAAAAATATCAAAAAGTAAACTGTTTTTTGTTATTCCAGAAATATATAAAAAAAAAAAGAAAAAAACTTTTCAAAACTTTATCGATAAATATATCAATCGAAACATTATTTATTATTAAAATTCAAAAGTACAAATTTTACTATTATCAAATAAATATTTACTTGGAACAAAATAATTTAAAAAAAAAAAACCAAATAATAGAATTATAAATAAATTGTATTTGAACCAATAATTTCTGTATTTAAAACAAACATCATCTCAAATAATAATTATTTAAAAATATTTATTTGAATAATAGTCAAATAATCTATTTTTATTTGAATCAAATAAATTTTTTTTTAAGTGCATTTATTTGAATCAAATAAAAAAATACATCTGTCTCAGAGAATAGTAACTTTTTATTTGTTTTCTAATAGAAAATTTAATTTAGAAAAAATAAATTTTTTTTTTATTTTTAAACTTATAAAGTGAAATTTCTCAAAAGAGAAACTTTCGACTTTTAATTTTTTTTTTTTTTGCATTACAATCTCTGATGATTGAAGAATTTTTTCCCCTATCTGCGAAAGTGGTATTTTTAGTTTTTAAATTACTATTTATAATTTTTTTAGTACGGCTCACAAAATTTAAGCATTTTTTCTACAAATATAACCTTTTTCCATTAACATTCATTTGTTTTTTTTTAATTTTCATAAAAACATACTAAAAATCGTTGCTTCAAGCTTAAAAATTGTAAATAGTAATTTAAAAACTAAAAGTATCACTTTCGCAGATAGGGAAAAAAATTCTTCAGTCATCAGAGATTGTAATGCAAAAAAAAAAAAATTAAAAATCGAAAGTGTTTCTTTTGAGACAACTCACTTTATAAATTTAATTTCAACTTTTTTGTTGCATCTGTTATAGGTACGTTATTTTTCAGAACATATTTGAAAAATTTGAGAAAAAATGAACAAATTTCATATATAGCATAATTTTTAATTTCTTAGTACAATAGATTAAAAAATGTTCCAAAAACACACTTTCTTCGTTGACGTTAAATTTCAAAAAATCATAACTTCCTTCATTTTTATTAAATAAAAAAATAGAAAAATACGTATTTTCTTATTTTTCATATAGATTTCGAAAAAAAATGTTTCGGACAAAAAAAAAAAATTTCAATGAAAATTTCCCATAGAATGCCCCATATATAATTCCTCCAGGTGTAATATATTATATACAATTTGTTAAAGTAAACAGAAATCAGACAAAATTTCTCAATGAGAAATAAAAATTTTGACATAATCTTTCTGAAGAAAATAATTAAAATCAAAAAGCTGAAAAAAAATGATAAAGAGCATTTTTATGATACTTGACATAGATATATAGAATTGTATGCAATGACTCGCATACCGAATATCAACCGCAAAAGCTTCACCTGAAGATCGCGCATAAAATGGCGTTTCTTGAGCCTTGGAAGAATATAAATTGTTTTTCTTGTGAAATTCAAATGAAACGCATGAATTTGTATGAAAAGGATATCGCCCATGAAGTCAGACGTGGATTTATATATATATATATATATATATGCATATATATATATACTATATAAATGTGTGAGTGTATGAGCGCACAGGTATATACGATTGCTCATAAACTTTCAAAAAGCTCTGCAAACGACAGCACATTTTTTTTACTTTTTTTTTTTTTTGTTTTGTTCTGAAATGGCAGGAAATTTCAAGCAAAGCGAATTTAAATAGGTTCCACTTTACGGATTGAAAACTTCTTCTCGAGGCCAAACATAACATTTAGTCTCAGGTAGAAAAAAAATATTGGTCATTTTTTTTTGAGAAGAAATTAAGATTTGCAGAGAAAACAAAAAAATTGAATAACGAATGGGCAATTAATTGTGAATTGAATCTCTCACAGAAGGTCTTAGTTGACGTTAATCTTACGTAAACTTTCCCTCTCTATCTATCTCTCTCTGTCTTGAATGAAACTTCTGCACGTAGCAAATTTTGAAATGAATGCTTGAATAATTTTCTGTCGAAATTTCCCATAGTGTAACTTGGGACGAAAGTTGCCACTTGAAAGTTTCAGCACTTTGCCTTAACTCTCACACTCTCTTTAGAATTTGAGAAAAGCGCATGCTTAAGGAATTTTCAAATTGAACAAACAATTTACAAATTGATTGATAAGGAACATTTTTTTCTCTAAATAAAGTGACAATTATTATCGAGAAATAGAGAGAGAGAGAAAAAAAAAACATGGAAATAAGATCACACAATTATTTTCCTCTTGAATAATCATTCACATTGAACATGAATATATTCCTCGTGTTTGTTAAATTTTCCAACTAACAAGGCAAGTCTGTCGAGAGCAGCTCTCCAATTTGCGTGAATAATTATTTCTCAACTTGTTACAGAGTATATATAGAGAAAATAGTTTTTTTTTCTATTCCAACATTGATTGGATTATTACAGTCACGAAATTTTGAGATTTTTAAAAAAAAAATTCCATATTGAAAAATTCGACTAACGAAAATATTTTCAGAAATGTTATATTTTTTTATGTTATATATATATAAAAATGGAAAATATGTCACTGAATACTTGACAGAACTTTTTCAAAGGTAATTAGGTTAAAAGTTTTTCTCTTACGCTTTTGAGCGCAATTTATATTACGAAAGTGAACCTGGTTTCTCGACTCCTTATCAATATTTAGGAAAAAAAAAAAAATGAAAAAGAAAAGTGAGTTACATATTTTTTTATTGTATTTTTTTTTAGAGAACGATTTTATTTCAAAAGATGGGAGGGTATTAAAAAATCGATTTATCTCGCCGAGGATAATATATATATATATATAAGCTGCTTTCTTTGCAAGGATGGACAGTAGATTTCAAAAAACCCACACATACATATATATGTGTACATTCACGAAAAGGATTACAAAATATCCATCAGATAGACAGCTGAAAGCACAAATTCAACAGAAACTTAAAATGTGTGCTCTACTTTTTATTTTATATGAAACAAAATGAAATTATTTATAAAAATTATAATATCAAAATTTTGCGAATAATCAATATTATTACATGATGAAAAAATAAATATTTGTAATATAAATAAAATAAACAAAATACAAAAGAAATAAATATGAATGGAAATAAAAATTAATATTTTTCAAAGTGAAATTAAATTATTACTAAACATGTACAGAGACTAAATAGATATACGAAACTTCAAACTGAATATTATATATATATAAAATCAATACCTTTACTGTTATAAGGTAGTTTGCTCTAAACTGAATACTAATCATAAGTTTTCGAAATATGATAGAAGGATAATCATATGATCAACTTTTACCCCAATTAAATTATTATATATATATATTAAAATTTTAACATCTTTGTTATCTCTAACGTCAAAACTTTTTGAGACTAATAAATGAAAGCAGATCCCTCAAGTCATTCAACATTTTATTGTACGAAGTTTGTCATTTAGAACAATCAATATTTTTATCTCTTGAAAAAAATAATGCTTTATCAATTTAAAAAAAATTTTTTTATCACAATTAACGTGAATTTTTTGCAAAAATTCATAGTTTACTATAATAAAAATTAACAAACAAAAAAACGAATAAACAAAATCAACAAACAAAAAAAACAAAGAAATTAACAAAAAACTGAACAAAGAAATTTTCAAACAAAGAAATTAAAAAAAAATTTCTGAAAAACATTAACAAAAAAATTGATAAGGAAAACAAAAAAAATAAATAAACTAGAAAATAAATATTAAAAAAAAATGTTTATACAAAATTAATGTAGAAAAATTGCAATTATTTATTAGTCAAAAAAGGTTGATGTGCGCACACTTTATTTCATCGTTTCTAAGTAAATCTTTTCATTTCCGTATACCCGCACTCAACTCGTACATCTTCAATAATTTGTTTAACATAAAGCTCTTTGTCTTTCACTTCTTTTACGAATATTTTTACCCTACACCAACACTCGTTGCCTCAGGATATGTCCTACTAACCCGACACTTTGCTTTTTTAACATGGAAGAATATATAATACTATAAGCTTCTTTCTTCATCATGTACCCGTAGTAGTTAAAACGAAAAAAAAAAAAAAATTTCTCAAACATTTCCTTTTTTTGTCCCTCTTTCAATATTTACAAATAATCATTCTCGTTAAAATTTATTTCATTTTGTAAAATTTGCATATTTAAATATTATTTTTTTTTTAATTCTGTTTTTCACATATACAATTATATAAAAAAAACAAATTGTACTAAAAAAAAAAATTTTTGAATGAAAATTTCATATGAAATGCCCCATATCGGAGTTATTAAAACACTATATATGTATGTAGGTACACGAATTGTTTAGCTGGATTTTGAATTTATTGTGTTTCATTTTTCAAAACTACGGAGTAAACAATTTTTATTCTATTCTCTTTTTCTCGTTTTTTATGTATTATATTTTTTTTTTTTTCAGAACATGAAAATATATTTCAATTATACTATATATACTAAAATGAAAAAGTAAAACAATCTAAAATTACTGGATGTAACATAAAACAGTTTACTGCAACAATGAAAAATAGAAACATTTTCTGAAAATGAAATTTTTACAAATTAATACATTTTCTAGAAAAATAAAACTTAAAATTGTTTCTATTTTTTATAAAACTTAAGTAAAATGTACTTAATAAATAAATTATTTATTAGAATTAAAATTGTAATTATTAATTAAAATAAAAAAAAATGTAAGGACAATTTTTTCGTAAAAAAAAAAAACTTCGAGCTGGCAAATTAAAGTATACACAGGCCAGCACAGTTCGGTATATTTATATATAAGTGATTACCGTTTGTGGGTGTCGAATTATATCCGCGACTATTTTTCTATTAAAGACTACCAACCAAGAACAAAGGCTCTCTGTTGTAAAATCGAAAAAAAAATCTAAATAAAAAATTACAGCAAAAATTTCATTAGGAATGGAGAACCAAAAAAAAAAAACAAAAATACAATAATTAAGTAAATAATAATAAGGGACACAGTGGATTGAGCATGGTGGGCTACGATTGTTTCAGGAGTGACCATCTTACTATCACTGACGGTGTTCCTGAATCTCGTCGCCGAGACCCTGCCCCAAGTTTCAGACGCTATACCCCTGTTAGGTACAATAAAACATTTGTTAAAAAAAAAAAACAGGAAAATCTCTCGCTTCACTCTAAAATTACAAAAAAAAAGAAAAATAATTGTCAACAAAAGCGATATCGTGTTACGATACAGCTCGATAATATTTTACGTTTAATTTTTTTTTTTCAATTATGACTAAACATTGGTTTTTTTATTATTCATTTTGTAACACTAATACAATTTTCTAATTTTGTTATATCGAGTTGATATATGAGCCTCAAATTCAAATGCGATTCACACTACGCTAGCATATGTAACTTAATTTTTTTACTTTTCTATATAACTAATTCGAAATATTTTTTAATTAAAAAAAAATGAAAATCAATATGTACTTTTTCAATTAATGGAAATTTGTTCACTAATTTAAATTAGTAAAAAATATTTACTGATTTTTAGTAAAAAATATTTACCGATTTTTTAGTAAAATATTACTATTTAATTTAGTAATATTTTTTTTACTAAAGTTTTAGTGAATACTAAAAATTAGTAGAGAAATTTTCACTAATTTAATTTAGTAAACGAAATTCTCACTAATTTAAAAGACAATAGAAAATAAGAATGAAATTTTACTAATTTCCCATATAATAATTTATTGTACGACTAACGTTGAAATTTCACTCGTCCGAATAAAATTTTTCAAAATTATTAATATACTCTCTAAATCTGAATTAGTAAAAATGTTTACTAATTTAAATTAGTGACTCACTTTTTGCTTTATAGAATAAGTTAAATTTTACTAATTGTTAGTAAACGTTACTAATAATTAGTAAAATTTTACTAATTGTTAATAAACGTTACTAATAATTAGTAAAATTTTACTAATTGTTAATAAACGTTACTAATAATTAGTAAAATTTTACTAATTGAGAAGCAAAAAGTGTGTCACTAATTCAAATTAGTAAACTTTTTTACTAATTCAAATTTAGAGAGTTTATATGAATTAATTTTGCTATCAAAACAAATTTCGTTGAAAAATCGAAAATATTAAAATTAATTATTTTCAAAAAAAAAACCGCAGTAATTAATGAGAAAAATATTATTACAATATACTAATTATAATCGCGGTTTATTTGTAAATAAATGATCAATTTTATTCTCGTTAATTATATATAATTAGTATACGATAAACTAATAACTAGATATCATATTAATTAATAATTTTCTATTCTATTTATTAATTATGAATTAATTACATCATTAGGTAATTAATTATTAATTAATTATTAATTAAAGGTGTATTTTAATAACGGAATTTCAATAATCAATGTTTAATGCATTTTTTCGCGACATTAGCGGCGAGATAACGCGATTCTATAGTGATACTTCATTATATATTAAAGTTATGAAACTGTCTTGATGCAAAAGATAATTTCTTACGGAAATTATTTCCTAGTGAATGAGTGCAAATGGCTTCATAAATTTCACAAGGCCAGAATAAGAAAGTTGAGTTAATTTTCATAAAATTTTCTCACACTATAATGAGAGGAGTTGAAATTTTTGATTTAAATTGCTATTAAAAAAAAAAAAAAAAAAAAAAAAATTATGAATAATATTTGGGTAAAAAAAGTTTTAATTAATATTTGAAAAAAAAAAATTAAAAGCTGGACAATTCTTTAATTTATTAATTTCGTTCAAATCTTGTTTTATATGATATTATATATATGGAGAAAATGGTCTAAATGGGAATCTTAAAAGCTCACTTAATGATCTTCATAAGGCTTAATATCACTTGGCAATAATATTATATTTTACGATAATGTCCATTTTCTCGTATATGTGATATTAAAAAAAAATAATAAGTATATTTAGCTGTAATTCGAAACAACTTTAGATGATATAGATTTTTTTTTTTACTTAAGAAAATTTTTTTTTTTAACTTTCTATCATAAAATGTGATGTCTGGCAACATAATGTATGATACTAAAAATTTTTTTTTTATTAGAACATTAAATAAATATTATTGAAGTTTAATAAATATTTATTAATATTAAACAAATTAAAATTTTTTTTTACTAATATTAAAAATAAAAAATAATTCAATATTGTTTGGGATAATTTTTTTTTTTTGCGGAAATCAAGTAACTTTATTTAATTTTATAGTACAAGATTTCTGTAATTTAAGTACCTGTATCTTAAATACAGGAAGTGATTTTTAATTTCAAGAATACTTTTCGATAAATTTCAGTAATTAAAGTTAAATTAATTTAAATAATTTTTGCTATGGAAATATTAAAAAAAATACTATTTCTATATAGTAAACTTTACTATTCTAAAATTTTCTATTTCCGAAACAAAAGTTACCAGAAGTTTCAAACAGTTTTGGTTTTACTTTGCAAGTATAGTAAAAGTTACTTTATATATATTTTTTCATAACATTGATTTTAAATATATAAATAAAATTTTTTTTTAGAAAATTTACAAAAATTCCCAATAAACATTGAAATTTAATTGCATCACATTTTTTTTTTTTAGATAAAAATTGTTTCACGCAAGTTTAAAATTTTATTTTCTTGGTTATTAAAAAAAATAAATGTCAAAATGACCTCTTAAATCATATATAGAGAAATTTTTATAGTTGTGTCGTAAAACATTGACTACAGCGAGAAGATATATAAATAAAGTACACTATAGGATAAGGTTAACTAGAATTTCATTACATTCACGTCACAATGACACAACTAGAAGGATTATTATACGAATCTATAGTCCAATCAGAGTAAAATTTCAATGTGTAAACAATAACAATAGACGTCTTACGACTGGTAATTAAAATCAACGATCAGTCTATTGAAAGCTCATTAAATACGGGTTTTCGAGTGAAATTGTCAACGAACCAAAATCCAATTGACACTGTATATACATATATATATATATAGAGAGAGAGAGAAGGCCCGAAATGTCTCTCGTATGCTAATTTGAATAATGAGATTGAAACTGCTTTCTAGTTACATGTTACATCTGCTAGCGCGCGTGTAACGCAATGAAATGACATGTCGTTGATGTCGTCGAGATCAGTTTGTCGAATACTATCACACACTCACACACATACTTTGAAGGAAGTCGTCATTGGTGGAGCCTTTGGCGATACGTGAACGACAAGGCTTCTTGGTTCTAAAGTGCCTTATATATACATATATACATAGTAACTAACAAGATTGCCACGAAGCAGCACGCACGAAAATTCCCTCTTGGCACTGTACGGTTACTACTCAAATTTTTTTACACTTAACTAACAATAGAAAATAATTAAAAATTTCTTAAAGAAAGAAAGGCTACGAAAACTTTGATTTTTGTAAAAGGGTAGAGTTTTTATTTCGAAAAATGAAAGAATATTAAAACTCTACCTTTTCATAGAATTTCGACGAATAAAAGAAATATTTAAACTCCACCTTGTCACAGAAAGCAAGGTTTTCCTTTTTATTTTGTACCCTCTTTCTATTCATTTACAAAAATAACAAAAAATAAAATTGTTCGAAAGTATTAAAAAATAGTCGCATGAAACATTACTTTCTGTGACAAGGTGAAGTTTTAATATTTCTCTAATTTGTCAAAATTGAAACTAAATTTTTACAAAATGCAAGAATTTTATTTATCTCCCAATTGTTTTGCCATTAAAATTTTTTTCTAAAATATTTTTGTAAATGAACACAAAAGGCTACGAAATAAAAATTTTGCTTTCTGTGACAAGGTGGAGTTTCAATATTTCTCTCAATTTTTGAAATTGAAACTCTACCTTTTTACAAAAAGCAGTTTTCATTTTTTAACTTCTCTGACCATTTATACAAAAACTTTAACAAAAATTGTAAATAGCAAAAAAAAAAAATTGACAGAGGACTACGAAACTCTACCTTTTTATAGAATTTCGACGAATAAAAGAAATATTTAAACTCCACCTTGTCACAGAAAGCAAGGTTTTCTTTTTATTTTGTACCCTCTTTCTATTCATTTACAAAAATAACAAAAAATAAAATTGGTCAAAAGTATTAAAAAATAGTCGCATGAAGGCTATAATACAAACATTACTTTCTATGACAAGGTGAAGTTTTAATATTTCTCTCATTTGTCGAAATTGAAACTAAATTTTTACAAAATGCAAGAATTTGATTTATCTCCTAATTTTTTTGTTTTGCAATTAAAATTTTTTTCTAAAATATTTTTGTAAATGAACACAAAAGGCTACGAAATAAAAATTTTGCTTTCTGTGACAAGGTGGAGTTTCAATATTTCTCACAATTTTCGAAATTGAAACTCTATCTTTTTACAAAAAGCAGTTTTCATTTTTTAACTTCTCTGACCATTTATACAAAAACTTTAACAAAAATTGTAAATAGCAAAAAAAAATTGACAGAGGACTAGGAAACTCTACCTTTTCATAGAATTTCGACGAATAAAAGAAATATTTAAACTCTACCTTGTAACAGAAAGCAAGGTTTTCTTTTTATTTTGTACCCTCTTTCTATTCATTTACAAAAATAACAAAAAATAAAATTGTTCAAAAGTATTAAAAAATAATCGCATGAAGGCTATAATACAAACATTACTTTCTGTGACTAGGTGAAGTTTTAATATTTCTATAATTTGTCGAAATTGAAACTAAATTTTTACAAAATGCAAGAATTTTATTTATCTCCCAATTGTTTTGACATTAAAATTTTTTTCTAAAATATTTTTGTAAATGCACACATAAGGCTACGAAATAAAAATTTTGCTTTCTGTGACAAGGTGGAGTTCCAATATTTCTCTTAATTTTCGAAATTGGAACGAAAATTTTACAAAATGCAAGAATTTTATTTATCTTCCAATTTTTTTGTTTTGCCATTAAAATTTTTTTCTAAAATATTTTTGTAAATGATCACAAAAGGCTACGAAATAAAAATTTTGCTTTCTGTGACAAGGTGGAGTTTCAATATTTCTCACAATTTTCGAAATTGAAACTCTACCTTTTTACAAAAAGCAGTTTTCATTTTTTAACTTCTCT